CTGGTAGATTGTATATTCAGGAATGAGCAATAGGTTGTCTGCTCCTTAGTTAAGAAAAGTCCAATTTCTAAACTCTTCCTGTTTGTTTTGGCTTAAAATTGGAAAATGAAAAATAATACGGGACCTCTATTATGGCAAAAATAGAATATATAAAGATGAACAAAAAGTTGAACAAATTTATGACCGGATCAATGCTCTGTCCGAACAGATGTATTGTATGTTTATTTGTGTGTTTAAAAAAAAATAAAAAGAAAATTGCAGAAAAAAAGAAAAGAAAAAAGAAAAATAATAGGGGACCTCTTTGTTTGGATGACTTTTTCTGCAGGTTACAGGATTGCCAAGGAATCCCTACCACAACCAGAAATTTTGCTGTATCAGATTACTTCTTTGCTGTAAAATCCAGAAGGAAGCAATGATTTTACCCGCAAAACACTGTAGAACAGGGTGTGGGAACCTTAAACCCTTTCATCCTATGATCTTCATAAAACAACAGGTTGCTCCCCTGCTTTCTGAATAAGTGGGAAAACAGATGTCGGCTGGGAGGAATACTGGAATACACACATTACCAGGAATCAGAAGCTCGGCAAAGGCCTATTGGAGGTTGTCATTCAGCAACATGACAAATTTTCCTCCTCCCTAGAAAAAGAAAATAAGAAGGTCACCAGTTGCATTTGTCACACAGTTACAGGATTGTACACTTAGAAGGGACCATAAAGGCCATTAGGAGGGCCACCTAAGAAAAGACTATCTTGTTGTTGTTGTTAGTTGCGAAGTCGTGTCCAGCCCATCACGACCCCATGGATAGGGTTCCTCCAGACCTTCCTGTCCTCTACCATCCTCTGGAGTCTATTTAAGCTCACTCCGACTGCTTCAGTGACTTCTTCCAGCCACCTCGTTCTCTGTCGTCCCCTTCTTTTGCCCTCCATCTTTCCCAGCATTAGGCTCTTCTCCAGGGAGTCCTTCTTTCTCATTAGGTGGCCAAAGGATTTGAGTTTCATCTTCAGGATCTGGCCTTCTAAAGAGCAGTCAGGGTTGATCTCCTCTAGGACTGACCGGTTTGATCGCCTTGCAGTCCAAGGGACTCGTAGGAGTCTTCTCTAGCACCATAGTTCAAAGGCCTCAATTCTATCTAAGACTATCTAAGACCATCTAAAAATGGCCATCTAAAGAAAGACCAAGCCTTAGAAAGGACCAAGAAGGCCAACCTCTCTGTCATGTGCATGAAAAAAAAAGAGATAAATGAGAGCTGATTGTCCAGCCTCTTCTTTTTCCATTTACAAATTTTATTAGTTTATCAAAATATAAAATACTAAGGAAAATCAAAAGTAATGGAAAACTAAGGGAAGGAAAAAAGGGACATGCTAACCATTTCTATAACAACAAACCTATCTAATAGGCAAAAACAAAATCAAACTTTCAGGGCTTTTTTCCCCCATCACAAGCACAAAAATCCAGAAGTGATTTCCAAATAGAAACAAAATTAAATATATTTTTTGGATAAAGGAATCAAATTGATTTCAGACTCTTCTTTAAAAGCTTCTGAATCAGTGGTGAAATCCAAATTTTTTTACTACCGGTTCTGTGGGCGTGACTTGGTGGGCGTGGAGTGGCTTGGTGGGTGTGGCTTGGTAGGTGTGGCAGGGGAAGGATACTGCAAAATCTCCATTCCCACCCCACTACAGGGGAAGGATACTGCAAAATCCCCATTCCCACCCCTCTTTGGGGCCAGCCAGAGGTGGGATTTGCTGGTTCTCCGAACTACTCAAAATTTCCACTATCGGTTCTCAGAACTACTCAAAATATCCACTACCGGTTCTCCGAACTACTCAAAATTTCTGCTACCGCTTCTCCGAAGTACTCAAAATTTCCGCTACTGGTTCTCCGAACTACTCAAAATTTCCATTACCGCTTCTCCAGAACCTGCTGGATTTCACCCCTGTTCTGAATGCATTGTGCATGTACAGTATAAAAAACTCAGGCAGTGAATTTTAAACATATCATGCAGCCGCCATCTTGACTGGCTTGGTCACACCTCATGGAAACCCAGGAGTGGGCTTTAAAAATTTTAGCAAGGGGTTCTCTGCCCGGTTGCTGTGTGGGCGTGGCCATGGTGGGCGTGGCCTAGTTGGCCTCCTGCACCACAGCGGGGTGGTGGTGGCATTTTTGCCCTCCCCAAGCTTTGGAGGCTTTCTTCGAGCCTCCAGGAGGGCGAAAACGGCCTCCCCAGGCTCTGGAGGCCCTGTGGCCTTCCTGAACTTCCGGTAGGCCTGTTTTTCACCCTCCCCGAGCCTCCGTGCACACCCTGCACTTACCTGCATCCAAAACGGGCTGCGTGGGGACTCCTGGGAGGGGAGGGGTGGGCGGGGCCAGCCAGGAGTGGGATTTGGGGGTTCTCCAAACTGCACAGAATCTTAGCTAGAGATTCTCCCGAACCCCTGCAAACCCCCAGCAGCCCACCCCTGTGAACACCCTTGTATGTAGAGCAATGCATTGTCTTTCTTGTTGTACACAGACATTCAACATTTCAGCTCTAACCTTTAGCTGGAGGGGATGAATTTATTGTCAAAAAGATCTCTCTCTATATCAAAAACAATACTATAAACAATTTGGTCACGATATTCCTCAATAGTTCTCAGGATGGTCGGTCTGAAGGAGGAATGCAGTCTTTTTAGCCAGAAAGTTGTCAGGCTGGACATGTAGAATAAAAAGGACCTTGCATTAGGCTGCAGTCATCCATCCAAAACAGGTATGTGAATTGCTTTGAATTTCTCCAGCCTTAAAAAAACAGTACAAGATTTAATCCTTGTTATTGCTGATGGTGCATTTCCTACCAGGATGTGCTTCCTGTATTGTGATTATGTATTTTGTATAATGATTTGTTTTCATTTGCAGGAATAATTATAAATTATAAATTGAAAGTAGAGACAGGCTTTATTTTTTATTTTTATTTTTTTTGCATCCCACAGATTAATTGCTAAAATTTGGGGGGAATCATAAGCTTTCAAGAAGGGGATACACAAATTAATCGAAATAGTGGTCAGGATTATGGGATAAAAACCTGTCCCTTTTTAACATCTTCATGCATGATGGTATTTGATTGCACAGCCAGGGCCACCATCCTGAATTTTTAACAAAAATAGCCGCCACCCCAAAAAATTCTTCAAGATAACAACAAGGGAAAGCACAAAATTTATTGGGCAAAAGAAAGAGAATTCTTCTGTCCTTTGTAAACTCATATTTTACTTGATATCTTCTCCTTTATAAGCAGTGCAGTAATTAATATGTGGATACTGATAGGATGTGTTTTGGTTCTGTGTCTGTGAAGTAGCTTAAATTTAACAGGAGGCCCACCAAATGTCTTTTATCAAGAAAATAAATGTTCGGAGTTATTTAGAGTTGAGCAGTGTAGAAATATCAGAGATGGATGGATGGATAGATAGATAGATAGATAGATAGATAGATAGATAGATAGAATGAATGAATAACTGAATTATAGACAGAGACAGAATTATTAAATTATGGAAAGAATGATAGCTAGATAACAATGACAAAGATAAATCGAATGAGAGAATCATAGATATAGAATGATGGACAGAATGATTGAATGACAAATAAAATGATTGAACAGAATTACAGGTAAAAGGAATGAATGAATGAATGAATGAATGAATGAATGATAGATAGATAGAAAGATAGATAGATAGATAGATAGATAGATAGATAGATAGATAGATAGAAGGCTACAGTTGGAAGGGTCAAAGTCCCTTCCAGAGTTGGAAGGGACTTTGGAGGTCTTCTAGTCCAATCCCCTGCTCAGGCAGGAGACTCTGTACCATTTCAGACAAATGGCTATCCAATCTCCTGGAAGGAAGGAAGGAAGGAAGGAAGGAAGGAAGGAAGGAAGGAAGGAAGGAAGGAAGGAAGGAAGGAAGGAAGGAAGACTAGATAAACAGAGTTGGAAGGGATTTCAGAGTACTTCTAGTCCAACCCCATGCTCAGGCAGGAAACTATACCATTTCAGACAAATGATTGCCCGATGTCATTTTAAAAAGAGGTAGGTAGGTAGGTAGGTAGATAGATAGATGAGTGAGAGAAGATAGATATAGATGAGAGATAGGTGAGAGAGAGAAGATAGATAGATAAGATAGATAGACAGATAGATAGATGAGAGAAGATAGATATAGATGAGAGATAGATGAGAGAGAGTAGATAGATAAATAGATAGATAGATACAGATGAGAGAGAGAAGATATAGATGAGAGATAGATGAGAGAGAGAAGATAGATAGATAGGTAGATATAGAGAGAGATGAGAGAGAGAAGATATGGATGAGAGAGATGAGAGAGAGAAAATAGATAGATAGATAGATAGATAGATGAGAGAAAGAAGATAGATATAGATGAGAGATAGATGAGAGAGAGAAAATAGATAGATAGATAGATAGATAGATAGATAGATAGATAGATAGATAGATAGATAGATAGATAGATAGATGAGAGAGAGAAGATAGATATAGATGAGAGATAGATGAGAGATAGATGAGAGAGAGAAAATAGATCGATCGATCGATCGATCGATCTGGGCATATGTTTGTCAGACCCGGTCCATCCAATTTCTTCTCCCTCCCGCCCCTTCTGTCGATAGAGAAGGAACGCCAGGCCCATCGTCATTATAGACCAAGGTAGAAGAACCAACTGCCTTTTTTTTCCATGCCCGCCACGTCTCTCAGGAAACCCACTTGCAGCGTCTCCATCACACAAGTCGCCCAGCCTGGCCACAACCACCGCCGTTCCTTGAAAGCCAAACGGGTGGGGAGGGGCGGGAGGGAGGGACGGGGAAGAAACCGGGTCTGAGGAGAGGGGGAGGGGCGGAAAGATGCCCAGAAAACAGCCTTAGGGACCAATTTCTATTTTCAAAAATAATTTTTTTAAAAAAAGTGGGGGGAGGGGGCCCGCGAGCGTTGCTTCCCCGCAGTTGGGAATGGTTTCTCCTGGCTTGGGCGCCGGGAGACCCCTGGGTAGATTCCGCTCATTTCAGCCAGAGCGAGCCAAAGAGCGGAGCTGAGGAGAAATGCGGGCGCAGCCAAAGCAGCAGCAGCCGCCGCCGCCGCCACTGGTCCATTAGCGGGCCGGGATTTGGGATTTTTGGGACCGGCGGGCGGGGGCGTCACCAAAATGCACGGCGGCTGTGGCAACGACCTTGCCGGCGGACCAGCATCGCCGCGGGGGACGTGACGAGAGCCGCCCGCGCTAAAGTCAAAAGGCAGGTGCGACCCGGCAAAGGCTTTTTTTTTTGGGTGGTCTTTTTGTCGCGGTGGGAGTGGCAGCGGGCATTGTCCCCGCGGCGGCGGCGGCGGCGGCGGCAGGAGCTGCCTTGCTTTGCCTTCCTTCTCCGGCGGGCGGACTTTGGAAAGCAAAGGTGCTGAGGCTCGGTCTGGAAGGCTGCGCCGACGGTTCCGGGTGTGAAATGCTGGTCTGGCTGAAAGAAGAAGAAATGTCGCATCGGGAACTCAGCCAGCGCCTGGCAACGGTCATCACCCATGTGGGTAAGGATGGTGGCATCGCTTGGCGTCGCCCTGGGCTGCCTTTCTCCAACCCGTTGGGCCTTCTGCCCGTTTGGGGGATTGGGGTGGGGGGTGGGGATGGGGGGGGGGAGAGAGAGAGAGAGAGAGAGAGAGAGAAATCACCGCCCTCTCTCTCGGCTTGGGTGATGCCCGGAAGGGTTGGGGAAGCTTTTGTATGTCAGTGTTACGGATGGGGGGGGGAGAGCTGGGGAGGAAGGAAAGGTGTGTGTGTGGGGGGGGGTGCTATATATCTCTATTGCTGTCTTTATCTATCTATCATCTATCATCAATCTATTATCTATCATCAATCTGTCTATCATCTATCTATCTATCATCTATCTATCTATCATCTATCTATCTGTCATCAATCAATCTAAATATCTATCATTTATCATCTATCATCTATTATCTATCTATCTATCATCTATCTATCCATCTATCCATCTATCATCAATCTATCATCTATCTATCATCTATTATCTATCATCTATCATCTATCATCTATCATCTATCTATCATCTATCATCTATCATCTATCTATCATCAATCAATCTATTTATTATCTATCATCAATCAATCTATCATCTATCTATCTTCTATCTATCATCAATCAATCTATCATCTATCATCTATCTATCATCAATCAATCTATTATCTATCATCAATCAATCAATCTCAATCTGTCTATCATCTATCATCTATCCATCTATCCATCTATCTATCATCTATCTATCTTCTATCTATCATCAATCAATTTATCATCTATCAGCTATCTATCATCAATCAATCTATCATCTATCATCTATCATCAATCAATCTATTATCTATCATCAATCAATCAATCTCATCTATCTATCTATCTATCTATCATCTATCTATCTATCCATCTATCCATCTATCTATCATCAATCTATCATTTATCTATCATCTGTCATCTATCCATCTATCCATCTATCTATCATCAATCATCTATCTATCATCTATCTATCATCTATCTATCTTTCTTTCTTTCTTTCTTTCTTTCTTTCTTTCTTTCTTTCTTTCTTTCTTTCTTTCTTTCACTGCAAAGGGGCTTTCCATTTTTCTGCCCACTGAATGTTAGCCCAAGCTGGCTCATTCCTTACCATTTTTTTTAAAAAAATTATTATTTATTTATTTATTTTCCCACTTGGAATTGATTCATGAATTCTCTCCTGCATGGTTCTCAGCGAGCTTGGGATGCTGTTGGCTTTTTAATATGTGTGTATTTACATGATCCAGGAGGAATTGCTGTTCTCCCTGGTTTTGAATGAAATCCGCCTCCCTCTTGCCCTTTCACATTCTGGGAGGCAAAAAACAGCTGCGGAAGGGAAGGGAGGTAAAAAGCCACTCTGTGACTCCTACACAGGTGAGCCTTTCCGCCATCAATGCCGTGTCTGCAACGGGAGCAGGAATCGGCCAGGCCAGGCTTTTGGCGTGGTCCCAATTAGTCCCTTAATCCAGCACTGGATGGGGACACTTTCGCTGGTGAAGCTCCTTAGTAAAGCTGTTGGCCCATTGAAAAGACAGCTGTGCCACGGGTGGCATCTTAAAAGAACTGCTGAGTTGGAAAATGCTCCAATTCCAGCCACAAGAGGTAGTGTTAATTTATGTGTGTGCTTGCTTGCTTGGTTGGTTGCTTGTGTCTCTACTAAGTGCATAAAATGGGGGGGGGGGTTGTTTGTCAGAAATCAACATTCTTTGCTAATTCCATGATTTGGTTGATTAAAATGTTTCCGCTATAGAGCGGTGTTTTCCAACCTTGGCGACTTTAAGACCTGTGGACTTCAACTCCCAGAATTCCCCAGCTGCCTGGAGAATTCTGGGAGTTGAAGTCCACAAGTGTTAAAGGTGCCAAGGTTGGGAAACACCGCTCTATAGCAGAATCATTTTAACTACGTCATGGAATCTGCTATAGAACATTCTTTCCCAACCTTGGCAAACTTTAAGACTTCTGGATTCCAACTCCCAGAATTCTCCAGGCAGCATGCTGGCTAGGGAATTCTGGGAATTGAAATCCAAGGGTCTTAAAAGTCACCGAGGTCAAGAAACATTGCTGTAGAGAATGTTTTGTCCTTATTGCTGGTGTAGACTGCTAACTTCTCCCTCTGGGTATGTGGCAAATTGTTATAGAGCCGGTGATGATGGAAGCCTGGACTGAAGATCAAAGTTTAATGACAGAAGGCATTTCTTGCAGGCAAAGGCAGTCCCTGGTAGAACTTCAACTGCACCATCAGAGTTGCTAACTTGATTTTTTTTTACCAGGCCCTGCAGACGCTCCTGCTTGCAGGCCTGTGCCATTGGAAGCTTGAAACATCTTAGATTGTCATTTATTAATCTCTCTAAATAGGCAGGTAAATAGAATGACTATTCTCATTTATTTTCCTCTTAAGGCAATGTTTCTCAACCTTGGCAACTTTAAAATGCATGAACTTTTCCACCTGGGGAATTCTGGCAGTTGAAGAATCTTAAAACTTGCCAACATTGCATCTCAAAGTTGCCAAGATTGAGAAATATTACCTATGGTAAAGCTTTTTTTGCGGCATGCTTGATTGTGATGACTTTATGGGTTTCTCCACCTATTTTCTTAGCTGCAGTAAGGAAGTGGATGATTATTATCTACTTTTAGGTAATTAAAATATTGGTTTGATTTCTAGTCGTGCTTTACCAGTCATGGATTTCCTGGTGGTGTCCCATCCAAGTGTTTTTTGGGATTGGTGTTATTCAACATCAGTAACTTCAGGATGTGTGAACTTCAACGCCCAGAATTCCTTGGCCACAATGCTGGTTGAGGAATTCTGGGAATTGATGTCCATATATCTTAAAGCTGCTGAACTTTATTAATAACTTAATAAAGCAGGAATGGTTACACACACAAACAAACAAACAAAGAAACACGCACACACACACAGAGAGAGAGAGAGAGACGGAGACAGAGAGAGACAGAGACAGAGAAAGAGATGGAGACAGAGAGAGACAGAGACAGAGAGAGACAGAGAGAGAGACAGAGACAGAGAGAGACAGAGAGATAGAGAGAGAGAGAGAGAGAGAGAGAGAGAGAGAGACGGAGACAGAGAGAGAGAGAGACAGAGAGAGAGAGAGACAGAGAGAGAGAGAGAGAGAGACGGAGACAGAGAGAGACAGACAGAGAGAGAGAGAGAGAGAGAGAGATGGAGACAGAGAGAGAGACAGAGACAGAGACAGAGACAGAGAGAGACAGAGAGAGGGGGGGGAAATGAACTGCGAACTCTAGTACATGATAAGTGTTTTGGTTTGTGCTTTGGATTTAGATACCTCCAGAAAGTAGAGGAAGAAAAATAGTATTGCTCGTGCCATGAGATTCCGTCAGGAAAGCCCCAAGGCGGCTGGAAATTTTTAATAATCAAAAGTCCTTTCCTGGATATTCATGGGGGAATGAAAAAAGACTTTCTAAACGGTCATTCGTATTGATGGGATATTTCTTTTTTTATTTATATTGCCGATGTTCTAAGTTATCTAAAACTTGGTTTGTCAATAATGTTTAATTCATATTGCATTGATATCGTTACATCCAAACAATATAATGCCAATATAAAATTTACGAGATAATAAAAAGCAGGGGAAAAGGAGAAAATAAAAGAGATTAAAGATGTCAAAGATGGTGGCATGAGCAAAAGCCTGCACGGACATTGAGAAAAGGTGAGGCTTTGGTAGTCACTATCTTGGTTTCTTTTTTTACCGCTGTTTGGTGGACGCCAAGGGTGGGTTCTAAATTTTTTTACTACCAGTTCCTGTGGGCGTGGCTTATTTTGTGGGCGTGGCTTGATGGTCATGTGACAATTCTTTAGGATTTAGCAGAGGTACTGACTGGTCTACCAGGCTTTTAACTGCTTGCAGAGCTGTACCGATCTACCCATTTATTTTTTGCAGGCACTGGTCTACCCATTTATTTTTGCAGGCACTGGTCTACCCATTTATTTTTGCAGGCACTGGTCTACTCATATATTTTTGCAGGCACTGGTCTACCCATTTATTTTTGCAGGCACCAATCTACTCATGTATTTTTGCAGGCACTGGTCTACCCATTTATTTTTGCAGGCACCGGTCTACTCATTTGTTTTTGGAGGCACCGGTCTACCACCAAACTGCCTTTTACCACTGATCAGCTGTAGGGCGGCCCTTTGAAGCCCGCCAGCAAGAGTTTAAACTGTTTTTCCTTATAGCCCATCAGCTGGGACTCAGGAGGCAGCAATAGATTGAGGGTGGGGCCAAATAAAAGGTAAGAATAACGCGTGGGGGGGGCAGAACTGGTTCGGTGACGTCATATCGTCACCACTACCGGCTCGGTGGAACCGGGCAGAACCAGGAGGAACCCACCACTGGTGGACACCCTGTAGCTAGCTAAGGTATGACCTTCTACCTTGCTTGGAGCCAGTGGCAAAGCACAATTTTTAAAGTAAACTAGACGAGAAGTCCCCAACCCCCGGTCCATGGCATACCAGAAACTGGGCTGCGCAAACAAGCAGAGCCCCATCCTCAGGATGCAGGCAGCACACGAAACCTCCCCGCCTCCGGTCCACGGAAAAACCTCTCTCCACTGGTCCCTGGTGCCCAAATGGTTGGAGGCCCCTGATCGAGACTTCTCTGGTGATAACAGAGGTTAGAATATAGGATTGCAGGTAAACTCTGCCCACAGCCAAGAGTTCAATCCTGACAGGGTTCAAGATTGGCCCAACCTTCCAGAGTTGGTAAAATGAGGACCCAGATTGCTGGGGAGCAATAGGCCGCCATGGTAGACTGCTCAGAGAGTGCCGTAATGCGCTATGGGGAAGTACAGGTAACCCTCAATTTACAATCACAATTGAACCCAAAATTTCTGTTGCTCAGTGAGACATTGGTTAAGTGAATGTTGCTCCTGTTTTACCACCTTTCCTGCCCACCGTTGTTAAGTGAATCACTGCTGTTATTAAGTCAGTAATACGGTT